TTTTTTTTTTTTTTTTTCTGGGCCAGCTTTAGCTCTGAGGCCTCGCTGCTGAAAACATAGATACAATGTTGCGGTCCGAGCCCGGCTGAATGGAAGCCCTTTTCTGGGGTTTTGTTTAGCTTCTTATTTGCAACATAGTATATAGTTGCTTAGAGTTGCAACTGAGAGGCTGGCAAGTTAGGTGGGGAACGTTGGAGTCCGCAGTCACTGAAGCAAGCAAGCCTCCCTGTTTGCTTCAGTGCATGGCTGCCGGCCGCCATCTTGGCTGACAGTTAATTTGCATATACTCACTGATTAGCCAATGAAAAGGGTAGCGGTCGTACGCCAATTACCATGTTTCTCTTTTATTAGTGTAGATTATTTTTACTGTTTAACTCTTCCTCTATTTGACTGAAGTGCTGGAGACTAAGGACCTTGTTTTATACACTTTTGAATCCCTAGTGCCAACTAAACTACCTAGCAAATAGTAGTAGTTGGAAAATATTTGTTGTACATGTAAATGTATGAACTATGGAAGCAAAACATATTAATTGCTATTTTTCAAAAGCTTAAATATTATCCTTTTCAAGTTAATTGACATATTTTGAACATTAACTCTTTTCTTTTTAAAATGGACATTTCTCAATAAATAATTTAAATTGATTGATACTTATTTCCAGGTAATAAATGAAGGAGAGTCAAACATTGCCACCGAATCACCGGAAGAATTAGAGGAAAATCCTAGTCCAGTTGCAGATGAGAATAATACAGTGTCAGCTAAAAAACAGGGGCCACATGGACATAACTGGAGTGGTGACTGGAGCTTTTGGGTAATATTTTTTTCTTATATCTTCATTTTAATCTTAAATGCAAAATTTTATAAGTTTGCAGCAATTCATATGTTATTTATAATATTTTTTATTAGCTTCTAGATTTTAGATATTTGTCTTAGCCTTTGAATCCCAAAACCATTTCCGAGTATGCCCTCCTTTGGCCACTAGAATGCACTGTTGTCTGGTTTGATGGAGTGGAATTATCTGCTTCAATTTTCTTGGGAGAAAACTACACCACAGAATTGGATCCCACTCACTGTATTGGCAAGAGTCTAACATTATATAGAAATCGTATTTCTAAATGTTACTGAGAAGCCAGCTATTTTACATCATTTTAATTTAAATAATTAGTTCCTGTACCTAAAAGGAAATGTAACTATGTTTGACCTGCAGTGTATAATGATTTTGAGATTGGTTTTAAAGTTTCGTAGCCTGTCTGCACTGTGATCACTTGGTTGCATAACCTGGATCTGCTTCAGGTTTCCCCACTGTAAACTGAGACTATGGCTCCTTGATTAGGTGCACAGAGTCTTTTGGTAAGAACATTTCTGTTACCATATGAATGCTAGCATTTATTATATTAAAGGGCTCATTCTAAATCTAACAATTCCTGTGAGAATTATGAGTCATTTGATAGACTAATGCAGCAATAAGTGAATTTTACATAAGAGTATACGGCATATATAGTTCCAATATTAATTTATTAGGAAGCTGATATCTTGAGGATTAGGTATATGTACGTGGTAGCAGAATTTCTAATAATTTTAGAGTAGACCAAAAAAAGACATATTGTTAACAGGTTATAAGGATTAGTACAAGTACCATCATTCTGTTCATAATTAGCAGCCCAGTTATTGAATGTTATCGAATCTTCAGATTAATAACAGGTTCTTACTTCCTATTAAGGAAAATATTTTATTGCTAAGAAATATATCAAAATAACCACATACCCTAAAAATTATATCATCTACATTTGATTATATTATTTTTGGACACATTTAGAGAAAGTTTATGACTGTTGTGTTTTGACCCTTCTGCACTCTGCTTTTTATATTTGTTATAGATTGGGAACCTTTATAGTTCCAAGGGCTATGTATAGGGCTAAAGAATTACTGTGGTTACTCTTTGCAGATTTGATGCAAGAAAAAAGGATAAAGTAAGAAAAGGAAAAGGAAGGGGAATAAGGATTTAGAGATAGAGAGTGGGGGCGGGGGGAAAGAGGTATGTAGCTTTTCACCTCAAAGTGTAGAATGTGGAGCTAGAAGATTTGGCATCACATGTCAGTTGATTAAAAATGCAGAATCCTGGGCCCAACCTCAGACCTACTGAGTCAGAATCTTCATTTTCACAAGATTTCCAAGGGATTTGTATGCACTTTCAAGTTTGAGAAGCACTGCTTTAGAATGTTGAAGGTTTATTTTGGCTCAGTTTTAGTTTTCTTTGATGATGGCAAGCACTTTATTTTGAGCAATTTTTTAAAAAAAATATTTTTTATTTCAGAGAGGAAGGCGGGGTGGGGGGGAGAGATAGAAACATTAAAGATGAGAGAGAATCATTGATCAACTATCTCCTGCACATCCCCTCCTGGGGATCGAGCCTGCAACATGGATGGGCATGTGCCCTGACCTGGAATCGAACCCTGACCTCCTGGTCATAGGTTGTTGCTCAGCCACTGAGCCACACCAGCCAGGCTTGAGGAATTTTTATATGGATTCTCATGAAATAGACTTAAAGACAAATACAACATCTCAGAAGTTTTACTGACTTTTCCAGAGGTCACTTACACAGAAACCAGAACTATCAGAACTCAGAAGCAAACAAAAATAAAAAAGAACCTGAATAGCTAAATCCAAGCTCATGGTGGTATATATTTCGAGAGGAGAATTCCTCAAGTCTTCATTTGGAATTTCTTTAATATATTTTTGACATATTTTTATATACCTAGTAAATAAGTTGATCCCTTTTTTTTTAGTTGAATAGAATGTTGGAAATAAGGGAATTACTTTGGGATAATACATAGACACTAGCAAGAAATGACAGCAGAAGTTCAAAAGCTGTAGCAGCCTTAGCCTCTTAATGTGGAGGACAGAGGTCTGTGTAGACAAATGGCTCTAATGTAGTACAACTATAACGCTAAAAATGATGGTTAAGAAGTCTGCAAAATAATGCACTTCTCTGCCACTTTATTTTTTTTCTCTCCTCTATAATTTTAAATCCATCTACCTCTACCACTGACTCTACAATAAAAACCTCTGAGCATACTCAACAGGAAGATGTTACATGGCAACACCTTTCCTTAAGACTCGCAGTGATTAACAGGTTGAAAAGTGCTGAATAAGAACACTTTTATTTGTAATATTGGAAAATGTATTTTCATGATTCCTCATAATTAAAAATTGTGAAAACTTAAAAGGATACAAGAAAGTGAACCAAAGTTTATTAAAGTTCTGTTTTTTGGGGGTTTTTTTGCAGAGGTTGACATCTTTTAGACCCTGCCCATTTAACCTTGTGCTACTTAACAGATTGGCTAGTGTTGTTCTGACAGTAGGACTTTCATTTAAAGGAATATGATTAACTTTTCATAGCAATTGATAGTGAGACCCACAGCTGCAGATTTTCTATTTCAATCCTGTGATATAAAGATAGGAATATCGCCCTAACCGGTTTGGCTCAGTGGACTCAAGGGTCCCGGGTTCGGTTCTGGTCGGGGGCATGTGCCTTGGTTTCGGGAACATCCCCAGTGGGGAGTGTGGAGGAGGTGTTTATCTTTTTTTCCTTTGATTTTTATTTTTTTTATTTTTTATTTTTTTTATTGCTTAAAGTATTACAAAGGGTATTACATATGTGTCCTTTTTTTTCTTCCCCGCCCTTGACAATCCTCTGGAATTTCTTTAATATATTTTTGACATATTTTTATACACCTAGTAAATAAGTTGGTCCCTTTTTTTTTTAGTTGAATAGAATGTTGGAAATAAGGGAATTACTTTGGGATAATACATAGACACTAGCAAGAAATGACAGCAGAAGCTCAAAAGCTGTAGCAGCCTTAGGCTCTTAATGTGGAGGACAGAGGTCTGTGTAGACAAGTGGCTCTATTGTAGTACAACTATAACGCTAAAAATGACGGTTAAGAAGTCTGCAAAATAATGCACTTCTCTGCCACTTTATTTTTTTTCTCTCCTCTATAATTTTAAATCCATCTACCTCTACCACTGACTCTACAATAAAAACCTCTGAGCATACTCAACAGGAAGATGTTACATGGCAACACCTTTCCTTAAGACTCGCAGTGATTAACAGGTTGAAAAGTGCTGAATAAGAACACTTTTATTTGTAATATTGGAAAATGTATTTTCATGATTCCTCATAATTAAAAATTGTGAAAACTTAAAAGGATACAAGAAAGTGAACCAAAGTTTATTAAAGTTCTGTTTTTTGGGGGTTTTTTTGCAGAGGTTGACATCTTTTAGACCCTGCCCATTTAACCTTGTGCTACTTAACAGATTGGCTAGTGTCGTTCTGACAGTAGGACTTTCATTTAAAGGAATATGATTAACTTTTCATAGCAATTGATAGTGAGACCCACAGCTGCAGATTTTCTATTTCAATCCTGTGATATAAAGATAGGAATATCGCCCTAACCGGTTTGGCTCAGTGGACTCAAGGGTCCCGGGTTCGGTTCCGGTTGGGGGCATGTGCCTTGGTTGCGGGCACATCCCCAGTGGGGAGTGTGCAGGAGGTGGCTGATCGATGTTTCTCTCTCGTTGATGTTTCTAACTCTCTATCTCTCTC